AACCCCCTCTCGGCAGAACACACCTACGCAATTAATTGCTCTCCCAACCCTATTGTGGACGCCGACCGTAACAATTGCAGCAATTGTGAAAGATTTATGTAATACTTACGTCATTGATTGCCACTGATCAGGTTAGTATATATCACATTGTGCGCTCTTCTCTCTAACAAAAAAAAATGGAAACGACCGACGAAATAAGAAAAGAGTTGGCGAAGGCAGAAGTACAGCTAGAGGAGGCGAAGGCAGCGGTGAAGAAGTTCGAAGGAGACGGGGCGCAGGGTGGACTGCTGATGACGCTGAGACTGGGGCTTGAAGGAGGACTAAACGCGATGCAACAACAGCTGTGGGAGACGCTGGAGGCAGAGAAAAAGCGTCTGGATAAGGAGGTTACGAAGTGGAGTGAGGAAGTGAGAAAGTGGGGAAAGAAGTTTCGCAAACTGGAGGCTCAACCAGGTAACGACTTTGTGACTCGGGGCGTTGGGGACATAGAGTAGTGTTAGTGTGTACACAGTAGACAGAGTAGTAATATGGTTTTCTTTGTTGAGAGAACGTTTTTACAGCTAGAGTTGACTATTTTGCTCTCCTGTTTCGTCATTACTTCATCAGTTCCACTCGTATCTACCTCCAACTTACTGATCATTCATCCACGATTCATTCACTCACACTACCCCCTCTTGCCCTTAGAGCCTCAAACTTTTATTGATTTCATAAACGACATCAGGAGAAGATACCCACCCCTACCCCCACCTACACCCACCTCTTTTGGAGAAAGAGTAGCAACAGTCACCGAGTTTATACCTTTGAAAGATCACAATACTGATCTAGCTATTGGTATAGAGAAAATTCAGGCCAGCATGGCTGAGGCTTCAAAGGACATACCTATAAAGGCAAATCTAAATATACTTTTATGTGGAGGAGCTGCTGGCATAGGTAATTATCAGGTATTTTCTTCATTTTTGCAGTAAATGGTGGAAAAGGTTCTAAATGTAAAGACCTTGAATGTTATTATATTAGGAAAAACGCGTTATGGTAAGGAGTTATTCAATGCTTTCAATCATAATAATAAAGTGCCTGATCTACAGAAGCGGTATCTGTATTTCAAATTCTCCAACAGCATGAGAATTCATCAGGAAGAAAAAAATCTCTGTGCTGAAGCTATCATCTTTATGCATCACCTTTTCCTTTTTCATTAAAGAACAAGTTTCTATGGACTTTTCTTGTTCATTCACTTAGATGAGATTCAGAAAATCATGAGTTCCAATTTGCATGGTCCTAATGAACAAAAGAAACCCAGCCTTCCAGGAGAAAACCTTTCTGCTCAAGATCCTCCCACGGAATCTGGATTATCCCTACTCAAAGATATTCTGTTCCATCTTGGAAGCTGCATGACTGACTGCACTAGTGGAACTTACATGCAGACATTTGTATCTGGAATGGTGCGAAGAGCTGTAGTTGAAGCAGCAGAGCCCACAGGTTACCATATCCATCCCCTGAGCTGTTTGATGCTGACCATGGCATCTCGCATGGAAATCATTGAGTATTTCATGGATACATATATTAAAGATTCTATATGGAAGAAGAAACT